ACCACGTCTGCAGCGTGGCCTCAGCTCAGACATGCACCCCGCTGAACCCCCAAGATGTCTGACGCTCATTGGCTCTTCCCATCTCCCGTCTTTTGAGCGCTGGCCTGGAAAATCCTCGGCCAAAGCCACAGACTGCAGGCAATTGGCTGGATCACCTTCCCAAACTCAGCGCTCCATGTCTGGGGACAGGATGGCCAGGAACTGCACCAGGACCAGCATCTCCAAGACCTGCACCTCTAAAAACCTGAAGTGCTCAGGAATTCTTAAAAATTAATATTTATCGGATAATTTTTTTAAAGAATAAAAAGATACAAATTTAGATAACAAAGAAAAATAGTAAGTAAATAAATAAAAGAAGAGGCAGAAAAGAAAGAAAAAGATATAAAGAAGCAGTTTCCAGTCTTCTTTACAGCAGTTATAAATGCGATTATATTTTATTCTCTAAGGTTACATCATAACTCCCTTCTTTCCATATTCTACCTTTTCTAATCATCAAACCCATAAATCACAAGGTCATTTTTTTCCATTTTCAGCAAAAAGTTCATAAAGGGTTTCCAGTCACTAATAAATGTAGTTATTGTCTTTTCCCTAATCAGACAAGTCATGTTTGCCCTTTCTGCATATTCTGTCGCTGTCGCCAATCACTTGTCCCTTGTGGGTATTTCAGAATCTTTCCATCTTTATGCATATCATAAAGTCACCATGTACAAAAACAATCTTCCATAAGTCTTTTCTAGTTGTCTGTCCATTAGTCCCAGCAAGAAAAGGTCTGGTTTCAGTCAAATATTAATCTTTAAAATGCTTTGTATTGCTATATGTATTTGAGCCCAAACTTTTCTAGCTGTTTTACAAGTCCACTGAACATGATAAAAAGACTCTTCATATTTTCCACATTTCCAACATAGATTTGAAGTACCTTTATACCTTCTAGATACTTTTTCTGGTGTCATATACCAATAGTACATCATTTTATAAAAATTCTCTTTTAAATTGTAACACAATGAGAATGTCAGTCCTTTCAGCCCCATATTTTCCCATTGCTCCATCTGTACATTCTAACCAAAGGTCTTGGCCCATTTTATCACACACTCTTTAATTGTTCTTCTTCCGTTTCAAATTTCAGTAAAAGTTTATACATTTCAGCAACTACAAGTTCATCATTTGCACATACGGTAATTCAGTTTCAAATTCTGTCTTATGTTGTTCAGTTCCAAATGTCCTTTTGCCTACTTTCAATCCTTCCCTTAACTGTACATAGGAGAACCATTGAGAACTAAATCCCTCGACAGTCAACTGGTCTCGACTTCATCTTGTGTTCTCCGTGTTTTTGTTCTAACAACTCTCGATATGTTAACCGTTTCTCTTTGTCTGCTGTTTCTTTTCTATAAAATGCTTCTTGTGCTGAGACCCAAAAGGACATTTGCAGACACAGCCTGGGTTGGTAACTATTCCATATTCTCAATATGGCACTGAGGATAATGATTTTTAAAGTCTACATTAACCTTCACTTTATCATACCATAACAAACCATGCCATCCAAACCTCAGGTCATGACCTTTTAGTTTTAAAATTCTCTTACTTCTCAGCAACACCCACTTTTTTGTCCAGCCCAAACAGCAGGCTGCAAAGTACCATCTCCACTCAGGCAATCCCAGTCCTCCTCTTTCCTTTGTGTCTTGAAGAGTTTTAGATTTAACTCTTGGTTTTTTCCCTTGCCATATAAACCTAGATATATCTCTGCCATTGCTTAAATGGTGCCTCAGTTGTCAAGATAGGTATTTTTAGAAATACTTCCCATCGTAACCTATCCTTCTTGATTTCATTCCATATTTTCACAGAATTATTTTGAAATAACATACAATTCATATTAGTCAGAGTAATACCCAACTGTTTTCCTTTTACCTCAATCTTAAAATCATTTTTCCATCAATTCTATTTGGTCTTCCATTTTCATATTTTTGGTTAACATCTTTGTATTTTGGCTATTCATTTTAATGCACCAAAATCCTTTAATTTTTCCATTAAAGGGGCTTTCAAAATTACCACCAAATTCCTTCCAAAGGGGCTTCCAAAATTGCAACCAAATCATCAGCAAATGCCCTTAGTTTATATATTTCTCTTTTCATCTCAAGCAATTCTCTCATCCTGTCTTAAACCTCTATTCAATACTTTAAGAGCTAGAATCTGGCATTCAGGAATTCTAAAAAATAAAAATGAATTCAGCTTTTTTATGTCAGAGAGGACTATTCTTCAGTGTTTATTCCTCCTTTGGCTGGATTTTCCTACTTGCTAACATGACTGGACTTTCCCCTTAATTCAGCCCTACATTGATATGGCTTTTTTAATTCCCATCCCCATATTTATAATTCCTGCTTGTAGAATAAGAAAAGGGAATTCATTAAAAAAAAACCCCACTTCCTGGTGGATAAAACCTTTCACACCCTGGAATTTCAACCTCTCTCCCTCCAATATTCCATGGAGACTTTACAGCATAGACATTGGGCATGTGTTTTTTTTGGTCCGAAGTAGACCGTCCCTGGCTGGAAGTTTTCTCCTTTTCCTTAAGCATCCTGATCTTTCTCTGGTTCTTCAACATGGACTTCCTCACTTTACCATCTTAGCTTCTGTCTACTGCACTGTAGGATACTTAATTATTTATTGGATTTGTTAAAACTGCCCAATTCCAAAAAGACTCTTGGTGGCTTACAAGAGGTTAGTGCAACTCCTTTCTCTTTGTAATTTTTCTGTGTGAAGCTCCTGAAAAAATCCTTTATTTTTAACTAGGCACATGATTTTCTTTTATACCATCTTGCCAGGCCTAAGACACTCCCTTTAATTGTGGTTTTTTCAGAGGCTGGACTCAGCTAAGAGGGCACACCTGGACATCCTTCGCTACTCTTGCAAAGCCTGACAGTGTTGGATGGGAGACCACCAGGAGCTCTAGGATGAGCTGGGAGGTAAATATATATACAAGAGGACAGTGGGATCTCCCTTTTGTTTAGTCGCAGTGAAATCACAAGGCAACTTCTGTGACCTATCTTTACCTTAGGAGCCTAAACAGGGTTTCCTTCTGTTCTGGGGAAGGATCTCTTCAGGGTTCTGAATACCAAAGTACAAATGAGGGCAGGTAGGGGTTGTGGTGGAGACATTTAGTTACCTGTCATTTGAGCAATCTCCACCCGCCCATAGCATTTCTGTAATGTCTCACAGATGCTATGTGATGAAAACGTTTTCCTCACTGTTTAACACACTGCTCAAGAATTATGAGCTTGTGTTTATTAAGAGATTTTTTGGTGTAATTTTTTTCCACACTCCAAACATTGAGGTCTTTTTCCTATGCGGCCTTGCAAATGCATGGAAAATATTGCCTTTTTAGCATATGATTTCCCACATACCCAAGCACTTGTGGGATTTCTTTCCAGTATGGATCCTCTGGTGTGGAAACAAACATGATGTCTGCTTAAGCATTTGTGGGGCCTCCCCTGCGTGGACACTTTGGAGTGGAAGAAGCGCACCTAACTAGCATGCATCAGCATGCATGCATCATCTTTATTTCGGTCATTGACCAATAAAAATAGATACAATAAAACAGACAACAATAT